TCTCAGAGCTCTTATAACAATCCATACATCAATTGTATCAATCACTTTTGTACATATGTTACCATCATCATTTCCAAAACATTTTCTTTCTACTTGAGCCCTTGGTAGCAGCTCCTCTTTTTTCCCTTTCAGGTCCTGTAGTTTGCACTCAAAGGATGCATATACTTCTTATTGTAGGAACGAATTGTGTGCTCCCACCCAAAATAAAAATAACTGAAAGGAGGTTCTCTTTGTCTTTGTTTTCTCTCTATGGCATTTCTGATTGCTTACCTCAAAGCACTAACTTTTAGTTTTTCTCTTGTGGTCTACCTTCTTTGGCAGTCACACCAGCACCTTTTCCTGTATGTGGGAGGTAGCCTTGAGCAATTGTGGGTGGCTGACTGAGCAACTGAATAAGAGAGATTGTTGGAAAACTTCAATGGGGTGAGACAGTTGTGGCTAGAGATAGAAATAAACATGTTAATGGAGTAAATCCTGATTAGCAATGATATTAATAAGCGTGAGAGTAATGGAGTATTGCTATTTTCTTTTTTTCTCTCCGAATAGTCTTCCCATCTACAGCTACTTTTTAAATGCCTATTTTTGATGCTCATTTACAATATTTCTTGGGAACTTAAGGGTTTAATGAACACAGGCATCATTATGTAATACAATATGAATTTTAAAATGTGTATCCTAAAATATTCATTATTTATCCTTAAGTTTAAACCTAAAATAGAGCCAAAGGAATCCAACTGATGTACTACTGTTCACTGTTATCGACGACTGGTACAGTAACAAGGACCTTGTGCATAAGCGTTCATTAAGCCGTCAGGATCACCCTGTGAGGGGATTTTTGTGGACAATGAAGTCTTGACATAGATAATTGTCTTCCCCCCGCCCTTTTGCTCTGGGTGATTCCAGGCCATTTAACTAGGGGAAACCGTCTTGAAAGTTTGAACTTAGTTTTCTGCACTTAGAATAAATGTTTGATTCCCCAAAGGGGAAAATTCTGTTAAATCTCACCAGCCGCCAAATTTCCTAACTTTTCCTGCCTTGTCAACTGCCTGTCAGTTGTGTGAAGGAATGCAGCGTAAAACTGACAGGAAGAAATTCTAAAATCTATAACCACATGACAGAATATTGAAAAATCCTCACAAAAGCTTATTTTGCCATTCCTTATCTAGCACTGACACCAGCTGCCGGTGATCCAGGATTTAGGTAACAGATACAAAACAAATACCGGCAGCTCCAGAGTTAGGGACTTCCAATGTAACGGCAACTCCTGCTGCTCCTTACGTGATACAAATTTGCCTGACCTTGGAGAGAATTGAACCCACCCTTTACTATTCCCATCCCGTTGAGTCTGACGCAGAGTGACCCTAGATTGAAAACAAAATTTTCATCATAAGCACCTTCCCTTGCTGCATGAGCAGCCTTTGAATCACTGCATAGACTTCCTTCCTTTTCGTGTGCCAACGGCTACATAAGAATGATACCCCCTGTTTATACTCACCTATACATTCTTAAAGACACAGGACAGGGTTTCTTTTGCAACATGGAGACAGCCTGTATTCTGTTTTTTCCCTGCATAGTTATTGTTCTGAACTATTTTCAAGTCTCTTGTGGTTGCTTATGTAAACCAAGTGACTAGGAGCTACCTTATTTCACACAGGGAAAAGTAGAATAGAGATGGCCATTCATTTCAGCTGTTTCAGGGCAAAACTGTCACGCCAAAGAAGTGCATTTCTGTTGAGTAAAACTTATGAGATTCTTTAGGAAAGTGAAGCACTTCAATCGGTGGATTTGATATTTGGATATCCGAAGGCGTTCTTTATCAGTTCTGTTGTTAGATGCCATCAAGTCAGTTCTGACTTACAGCGACCCTCGGTGCTGCAGAACTGCGCCTCCGTCCCACCCACCAGAGTCACAGTATGCCACCAGCAGACAGACTCTGCCTGATGGCACAGCTTTAGACCGTGGCTATTGGTCCAAGGACGTTGGTGGCAGTATGGGTGAGGTGATGGGTAGGAATTGGGCTGCTCACGTAAATGTCAACTATTCAAAATCATCAGCCATTTGGAGGGAGAAAGATGAGGCTTTGAGCGCCTGTCAAGATTTACAGTCTTAGAAACCCTGTATAGGTTCCCTTTGAGGAAGAATCAACTCAACAGGAGTGGGCTAGTTAATTTTTTTGGTCTAGTTAATAGAAAGAATTCAATTGAGGTTGAATTTACATTAAGACTCAAAATGGATTTAGGACTACCACAATAAACAGGTGGGGGGTGGAGGGGGGTGCCTTTGGGTCAGTTCTGAAGCATAGCAACTCTATAGATAACAGCGCTGTCCCGTTCTCACTTTGTTTGTATGTTTGAGCTCGCTGTTGCAATCACTGTGTCAATGCATCTTGCCAAGGGCCTCCCCCTTTGTTGCTGCTCCTCAGCATGTTGTCTTTGTCCAGGGACTGATCTCTCTTGATAACATGCCCAAAGTACATAGGACCAAGTCTCAACATCCTTGCCTCTCAGGAGCATTCTGGTTGTACTTTTTCCAAGATGGGTTTATTGGTTCTTTGGGAAGCCCATGATACTCTTCAGTAGTTTTCACCAGCACAGTAATTCAAACACATCGACTCTTCCTTATTCAATGTCCAACTTTCATATGCATGTATGGGAATGGGAAATACCGTGGCTTGGGTCAGGAACACCTTAGTCTTCAAAGTAAATACCTTACTTTTCAGCACTTACAAGAGTTCTTGCACAGCAGATTTACTGAGTGCAATGTTTCATTCCATCTCTTGACTGCTGCTTCCGTGGGCATTGACTGTGGATCCTAGAATGACAAAACTTTGACAACTTCACTCTTTCTCCATTTATCATGATGCTACCATTGAGTCGCCTGTGAGGATTTGGGTCTTCTTGACATCCCGAAGTTGCAATCCATACCGAAGGCTGCGATCCTTGATCTTTACCAGCAAGTGCTCCAAATCCTCCCCCATTTCAGCCAGCGAGGTTGTGTCGTCTGCATTCTGTAGGCTCTTAATAAGCCTTCCTTCAATCCTCAAGCTGCATTCTTCTTCATATAACCCAATTTCTCTGATTACTTTTTTAGCATAAAGATTGAATATGTATTGTGATAGGATACAACCCTGATTCACAGCTTGCCTGATTTTAAACCATATAGTATGCTCTTGTTCTGTTTTCATAATTGCCTCTTGATTCATGTCCAAGTTCCTCAGCAGCACAAGTGTTCTGGAGTTCCCATGTTTCTCGAGGCTATCTATAGTTTTGTTATGATCCACACATTCTAATTCCTTTGCGTAGTCAAGAAAACAAAAGTAAATAGATATTTACTTTTACTGGTATTCTCTGCTTTCAGCCATGATCCTTCTGGCATCAGTAATGATATCCCTTGTTCCAAATCCTCTTCTGAATCCACCTGCACCTCTGGATGCTCCCTGTAACAATGTACTGCTGCAACCATTGTAGAACGATATCCAGTTAAATTGTACTTGCATGTGATGTTCCTGATATTATTCGATATTTTAAACATTTTCTTGGATCATCTTACTTTAGAATGGGTAAAAATATGGATCCCTTTGAGTCAGTTGTCCAAGTAGCTCTCTTTCAAATTTTCTGGTGTAGACCGTGAGCATTTCCACTGCTTCTTCAGCTTATTTTAACATTTCTATCAGTATTCCATTAATGCCTGAAGCTTTGTTTTTTGGGTAATGCTTTCAATGAAGCTTGGAATCCTTCCTTCAGTATTACTGGTTTTTGCTTATTTGCTACCTCCTGAAATGGTGGAATGTCAACTGATTGTTTTTGGTAAAGTGACTCTGTGTATTCTTTCCACCTTCTTTTGATGCTTCCTTCAACAATTAATATTTTGCTGAAAGAATCTTCAAATATTACAACTCAGAGCTTGGATGTTCTCTTGAGTCTTTCGGTTTAAGATATGCTGAATATGTTCTTCCTTTTTGGTTTTTAAGTCTAGATCTATGCATATGCCATTATGATATTTTACTTTATTTTCTTGAGCTGCCCTTTGCAATTTTCTGTTCAGCACTTTGGCATCATAATTTCTTACTTTTGCTTTAGCTACTCCACAAATAAAAAGAAGCGTCTCTTCTGACATCCACTTTGCTCTTTTCTTACTTTCCTATATTTTAATGACCGTTTGCTTGCTTTATGAATGATGTTCTTGGTGTCCTCAACTTATTTCAACCCAATAGAACAACAAAGAACTGCTTTTTAAGACTGTGAACCTTAAAAAAAATTTTATTGGGGGCTTTTACAGCTCTTATAACAATTCATATATCAATTGTATCAGGCAAATTTGTACATATTTGCAATCATGAGTTTCTAAACATTTACTTTCTGTTGGAGCCCTTGGTATCAGCTCCTCTTTTTTCTCTCCCTCCCCCAAGACTGTAAGTCTTCATAGGAGCAAGATGCCCCATATTTTTGATGTGGCTTTGAACCTCTGATCTTGTGGTTAGCAGCCTGGTACTTAATTCACTGTGCCACCTTCTTGTTATGGCTAAGTGCCATTGAGTCTGTTCCAACGCACAGCGACCTTATGTACAACAGAGGGAATACTGCCTGGGCCTTCATCTTCCTCACAGTTGTTCTTATGTTTGAACCAATTGTTGCAGCCTCTGTGTCAATCTGTCTTGCCGAAGACCTCTCTCTTCTTTATTGCCCCTCTAGTTTGCCAAGCAAAATTACCTTCTTGGGATAGCATAATAGAGAGGTGTGGTTTTTTTCACAGTATATCTTTCAAAAAAAAGTCACTGTTAAATGTTCTTTACACTGTGATCCATTATCACAAAGGCATTTCATTAGCTGTACAAATTAAATTTAGTCTTAATTAATCAGTTACTTAAGAACAACAAAATAAATACCAAGAAACAATTTTCAATCATGTTTATGTGTCAGAATTTGCTGAAATACAGTTATCTAGGTTCCCTCTCAAAAGGTGGATAAAAAAATTCCAGAAAGAAATGCATAGAGGAGCTGGAGCTGCCGGTGGGGAACATGATGGATTCAGAGCTCGGCAGGAAGTGGGACTGGTGCTTGGCCGATGCGGTTGTGAAGATAGGTACTGGTTTTGGATTGGGAATTATTTTCTCCTTTACCTTTTTTAAAAGAAGGATGTGGCCACTAGCCTTTGGTTCTGGCATGGAATTGGGGATGGCCTACTCCAACTGTCAGCACGATTGCCAAGCTCCATATCTTCTTCATGGAAAATTTGTCAAAGAGCAATGACCTGAGACCATCCCAGTGGGAAGAAAAAGAAATAGTGTTTATTCCTCAGGAATATTGAAGTGCCCTGGAGTCAGCTGACATTCTTCTGACTAATGTGATCAGTAATGCTTTATACTCCAGCACACGGTTTATGCATTTGAAACCAAGTCTGTTTCTTGTTTTGTATTTTCTCTCTGGAAGTTGCAAGGAGGTGGTCTTACAATCTTAAAATAAATAAACAAATAGGACACCCCCCCCAAATAAATGCATAGATAAATATATTTATATATAACGATAGGGATATAGATCTATGTACATATATTGTATGTTAAATATTAAGGTAGCAGTTGGACATTGGGCCTCTACTCAAGTACTTCCTCAATGCAAGAACACTTTGTTCTAATAATCCAGAATTCTGTGATGCTCACCATCCTGACAGGATCGCTGAAGACAAACTGGGTGCATACGCTAATGGGGTGAAGAAAGCTTATGGTGCCAAGTTATTAAAATATATAACATCTGGGGTCTTAAAGGCCTGAAGATAATAAGCAGCCATCTAGCTGGGAAGCAACCAAGCCCACATGGAAGCACACCAGCCTGTGTGATCATGAGGTGTTGACAGGATCAGATACCAGGCATTAGAAGACGCCCAAAAACCAATCATATCAATGTGAACGAGAGGAGGAGTGGAGTGGCAACCCAAAGCCCATCTGTAGACCATTGGACATCCCCTCACGGAGCGGTCACAAGGAAGAGACAAGCCAGCCAGGGTGCACTATAGCACCGACAAAACATACAACATCCCTCTAGTTCTTTAATGCCACCCCCAATCATGACCCCAGTTCTGCCTTACAAATGCAGTTAGACCAGAGCACATACACTGGTACAGATAAGAGCTCTTGATACAGAGAATCCAGGAAAGATAAACCCCTCAGGAATGTTAATGGGAGTATCGATACCATGAGGGTAGGAGGAGGGTGGGGGGGAGAAAAGAGGAACTGATCCTAATGATCCACATATAACAGCCCCCCCCCACAACACTGAGGATGACTAGCAACAGAAACATGGGTGAAGGGACACAGCAGATGGTATAAGATATGAAAAATAATAATTTATAATTTATCAAGGATTCATGAAGATGGGAGGGTGGGGGAGGGAGGGAAAAAATGAGCTGCTACCAAGAGCTCAAGTAGAAAAGAAATGTTTTGCCAAATGATGATGGCAACATATGTGCAAATGTGCTTGACACGATGTATTATGGATTATTATAAGAGCTGGAAGAGCCCCCGATAAAATGATTTTAAAACAAGAAGAAGAAAGAGATATATAGAATCTTCTCTGTATGAAACCATCAAGGAGTTTGATACTACTCTTTAAGAAACACGACCTATGAACATGATTAATATTATTTTACTCATGCAGAGGCCTTTGAAATATCCCCAAATGTAACTTCTTGAAGTAGAAGGCAAATAGTCTGACCAAGTAAACAATGACTAGAAAAAAACATCAATTTAAATTAGCAATTAATTTCATCATTATTGCTACTGTAATGGTATCTTCTATCCTTTTGACTTCCTCTTACCTAAATAAGCCCACTTGGTACACCTAGCCTTGCATTTGAGGAGATGTTATATAAGAGGTTGGGGGTGGAGTGTTAGAACGGAAAGATATCTGAGACACCCTTCACTTTTCTTAGAAACATATTTACAGGTGTACTACCTTTTATCAATTTCATTAAAAATGCACATACTACTGTGTGGCCTTTCATTTCCCTGGTCTTTTTAAGCTTGTCATGAAAAAGTGTGGGCCATAGGACCCCCACATCCACTGGGATGGCTAGGGCTCCAAATCTTGTCATCTCTTCTCACATCTTCTATCCTATCAGTGATGAGTCTTTGACTTGGGGGTGTCGAGTACGTGTCATCCGAGTTGTCCTGTATGCTCTGTACCACACTGGCCTCACCATACCACCTGCCCTCGTGGAATGCAACAGAGCGGCTGCCTCACTGCTTCTAGCCTTCTGCCACCTGCTGATGCCACTGCCACTTGCTTCTTGCCTATTCCTCTCTTTCACCCCGAGGGGGAATAAGAGATGATTCCCCTTGTGAACAAAATTTCCAATTTTGTTTAGGCTATCACTGAAAAACCCTGTTCTCTAGTTTACAGTTCTTCTGCATGGTTTCTGGTAAATGTCCCGGGGGACCTTTGAATGGCTTCATCTTGGCTTACAGTCAAAGCGAACATTCTCCACAGTTTTCAAATTCATGTGCCCAGAACAAGTCTAGGTAATTGGACATTGTGTACCTCAAGGTCTCTGTGGTTTCTAGTTTTTCTGGGACATAGCCAACAGAACAAAATATTTTCTACCTTTCCTCTTAGGAGGAAAAGGGTGTCACCTGGTAACAGGTTTTCACATCACTTACCCTGATATCCCAGCATCTCAGAGTGAGCATAGAGGTTAGCCTTTCAGGCTCTCTTACTACAATGGGATACATATATTGAAACAAGTACTACATGTGCTTCCATCTAATTGGCATCATTCATTGGGTTGCCAGGGTAACAAGGACTAAGCAAATGATCAGAATAAGTATGGATATAGCTGTTGAGTTGTTAATACTAAAATTTATTCATTATTCAGCAAACTGTTCTCTTTGTATACCTAGTTATATTGCTTTTCTTCCTACAAAGGACAAGTGATTCTTCTGAACTTCATAGAAAGCATATTTAATAAGATGGCAGAACGGATTTATTCTAGTTAAACTACCTTTATACTGAATCTATTTCCCTGTTGATGTGTATTGAAAAATTAGAGATCTGTTTTTGGATCTTCATCAAATATAATTTACTATTAACATCACATGTACATACATTCAATGTGAATAACAGGATATTTACCTTTTGATAGGAGCATGAATAGGTAAAAAGCAACAAGTTACTGCTGCATTTCCCTGGTCATTTTTCTTACTCCAATAGGCTAAGGACTCAAAAGGGAAGAAAAATAACAGACCCTGCAGATTATTCCAAAAAATACTAGCATTGTAAAAGAGGGGGAATGCGTAGTGGAGACCCAAAGCTCATCTGTAGGCAACTGGAAATCCCTTTACAGAAGGGTCTCGGGGAGGAGACAAGCCAGTCAGGGTGCAGGGTAGCAACGGTGAAACATACAACTTTCCTCTAGTTCTTAAATGCTTCCTCCCCCCACTATCATGATCCCAATTCTACCTTACAAATCTGACTAGACCAGAGGATGTGCATTGGTACAGATAGGAACTGTAAACACAGGGAATCCAGGACAGATGATCCCTTCAGGACCAGTGGTGAGAGTGGTGATACCAGCAGGTTGGAGGGAGAGTGGGGTGGAAAGGGGGAACCTATTATAAGGATCTACATATACCCTCTTCCCTGAGGGATGGACAACAGAAAAGTGGGTGAAGGGAGACGTCGAACAGTGTAAGATATGACAAAATAATAATAACTTATAAATTATCAAGAATTCTTGAGGGAGGGGGGAGCAGGGAAGGAGGGGGAAAATGAGGAGCTGATATTAAGGGCTCAAGTAGAAGGCAAATGTTTTGAGAAATATGATGGCCACAAATGTTAATGGATGGATGGATGTATCGTGATAATTGTATGAACCCCCAATAAAATGATTTTTAAAAACCCAGTTTCTTTTTCAGTGTTCTACTGTATGAAGGTTCAAAGTTTTGTTTGGCTGTTCAAATCCTGTTCCTTCACATGCTGCAATGCAAAGGAATTGACTAAACTTTAGCTTTCAGTAGGCTAAGGCATGGCCAATTACAGAAATGAACAAAAGTAGTCATTTAATATGGAAATGATCCATTGGCAAACCTCGACACAAAGAATGAATGCGTTCCGTGGATTTTAGAGTTTGATATTGGAGCACTATAGCAGCAATCCAGATATTATTTGTGATCAGTATATGGAAAGTTTCATCATGTGATCCAGATAGACTTCTTTGGAGTTTATTTGTTGAAGGTGAAAGTGCAAAACTATTTGCTAATGAATTTTGAGTAAGTGGTCTAGGACTCCAATTGTCCTCTGAAACACCAGATTGTAAGTAGTAGGAGCCTGGGTGCCATTGGGCTGCTAGCCCCAGAGTCTGCAGTTCAAAACCACCAGCTGTTCCTTGAGATAAAGATGGACCTTTTTACTTCCATAAAGAGTTAAAGTTAGGAAACCCACAGGGGCTATTCTACACAGTACACTAGGGGCACTGTGAGCGGGCATCCACTCAATGGCAGTGAAGTGAGTAAGCATACAGGCACATATTTTTAAAAACCACATTAAATAAAATGATTCTTGAATCTATGTTGATAAAAGTAAACGGGGAGAGAAGAGACAAATCTGTTGTACAGGAAATTTTGCATAATAAATATAGATCTTGCCCTCTCAAGGATGAGATTAAATCCCCTCCTTAGAGTGTAAATAGCGGGGAGCGTGTTGGCTGATCACTGGTATAATTCTTACCTTCCATCAGGAAGACTTAAGTTCCATTTCCGGCCAGTGTACCTCAAGTACAGAAACTGGTCATCTGTCAGGGGAGGTGTGTGATGCTAAACAGATTTTAGAAGAACTTCTATATTGAGGAAGACCAGGAAAAAATGTGTGGCGATCTTCTGATAAAAAAATCAAAGAGAGAAAATCCAATGGATCTTTTTGTGCATGGGGCTCATGGTGTGGTCATGATTAGGGGTCAACTCCCCATCAGCGACAACAGCATCGAAGCTGAATTTAGAATCTTACTTCTAATAAATAAAGGGGAAATCTTTAATGAATAAAAATCTTCTAATGAATGAAGGAGAAACTTGGTAGACATCAATCAAGTGATCAGTTGGAATATCATAAAAAAATTAGTGACCACTGACAACCTGAGATGAAGAATGTCACTTCTGAACTAGAAGTTTCAAATATCCATAATCCAAATCTAACCATGAGACACTTTCAGATAAACACAAAGTGAGTGATGCATTCAAGTATTTTTCAGTTGTCCCTGTTTGAAACCCCAACCCTAAATACCAAGCA